GCATATTAAAATTGTGTTCAGAAGCTAGAGAAGCACTTTTCCAATAGGTATGTACAGTATGCAATGTGTGACATGCAAAAACAATCATATATCAACATGAGGTACCTTAGGTACAGTAGGGTTACGTTACGGGGTACCCTAGGTATTTGTCCAACCCTATTATTTTTCTTATTTCTGTGCCCACCTGCACTCATTTATTTGTTTCCTCCCATCAAAATGTGCTAATGGTTTGTAAAAGGCAGCCAGGTGACATAAAGAAGTGGGCGCCATATTCTGGCTGCCACACCTGCTGTTGCCCCTTTGAACCACAAGGAATGTGTCCCGACACAGACCTTATGCAGAATCCTGCAGTGACTGTCATTGTCGGACTCTTGTCTTCTGGTAACCGAGCAGTATTAGCCACTTAAGGTACCCATACAACTATCGATTATCGTTCGGAAATCGTCCATAAAAGAAAAGGACTTTCGAACGATAATCGATCAGTTGATGGGAACCCAACAATTTTTTAACTGTACTTCTGGCCGAATTTCCCCGATCGGTCAGGCGGGAAAACTTTTTTAGAATCGTAAGAAAATAGATGGATTGGTGAAATTTGGTGAGTTAGTATTGCTAACGAACGATTATCAAAATCAACAGTGCATGAGGGGGTATTCGAGTGGAAATCAAACGAGGGTTCGATGACGGCACAGAAAAAAATCTAACGATACTCGCAGAGTGTATGGCCACCTTACGTCTGTGTCCTGCTGCAACCTCCACATAACACACTAGTGACATTGACCACTGTAAACTTTCCTTTCGCCCAGTGACATTTGATTTCCAGTAGAGCCAAATGCATCGCTGACGGGAGAATTTGAGGCACAACAAACACCTTTTAAAAAAAACTCATATTATCTAGGGCTGGAGCTCTCTGCTGGGGAGGGCTTTTACATCATGTGAGATTTACTTTAAAGCTTGACATACAAATTATTTTCCCAGCATGCACTTCCATTTTAGTACATGCCATGCAAGCTTTGGTTGCAATCCTCAGAAAGAAGCTAAGGTACACCTGCCCTGAAACAAATACAGAGCTGCAATTGCTTGCCTTCCTATTAAAAATGTAGTTGCCTGGCTGTGTCACTGACCCAGAATAAGCATGCTGCAAATCAAAGTCAGAGAAAAGTAAGATTCTTTAACTCTGCTCCAGTTCAGTCATAGTGAGGAAACCAGCAGTACTGTAATTACAGCCTATATTTGTCTCTCATAACAGGTATACTTTAAGTAGAAAAAATACTGGCCATCCAATTTATTTCTTGCTAATCAATGCATAGAAAACAAACAACATATACAAGAGAAAGGGGAAAAAAAGTAGCTTTAGTACTTTCGGAGTCACTGATCCAGAATATTTTTCAGTTGTCTGATCTGCCTGGTTATTAAAAAAAGTTGGCCGGGCAACTAGCATTTTCAGATGGAGGTCAGCATTGCCAGGCACCATATTTCTCTCCTTACAGGATTCTTAAAGCAATATTTGCTTTAAAGGGAATGTATACTGCTGTTCGTTTTTTGTTTGAGTTGATGGCTTAGTCCAAAAGAAAGCCTTGTGAAAGTTGATATTTGGGTAACAGAGAGAGATTCTGGTTGGTTGAATTTCCTACCTTTTTGGGAAGTCCTCCGGTGTGAGGATTTTCTGCAGGAATAAAGCAATCCAAAGGTGTGAAATAACCATTACCCACTCCAGCCAATTTCGGCTAGAGCAAACCACGATCTTATAAGCAGACGTTTCTGGCCAACTGGATGGAGAGATGGGACCCCACATGCATAGATATTGAGTCTCTGAGGGATTTAAAAGTCCAGCCCCTGAAGCATCTAGCCAAAACTGATGTATTGGTTACGGATTGACTGACTCTGTAAAATGGTGTAGGATATATGATCGTGTCTTGATTTCTCAGATCCACAAAAATGTGCTTGTCGTTTATAAGAAATAGTGAGCTAGAGATGCAGCCAAACTCGATATTGGTATTTTTACCATGGCATAGTAGCCTCAAAACATAGATTTTGCTTATTAGTTCATCATCATTGGGCATTATGACACAAGGGACGTCATTCTTGGAGAATTATAAACCAATGGATGATGCAGCCTACCAGTGCCTCCCAACCAGAATATTACATTTCTCTGCTGCTACAGACTGACTGGCTCCTTAATTCTGCATTATTTTGTTTTGCTTTCCTTATACACTGAGTGGCCAGATTATTATGATCACCTGACGTTTGTAGGCAAATTAGCTATAATTTGGCGCTGAAGTTGCTAGAGGGCCAGACCATTATAAATAGGGAAGCAGGTTGTTTACCACGACAGTAGAAGTGATTTGTTTCTGAAGTGGCCGTCAGCGACTAGTCAATGTTAGGGCAGAACGGAGAGTGGCAAGACCGGTACAAGACAACAGAAGGGCAACAGTGCCGTGTCAGATTCCTCGCATCACCTTTCATCATCTCGTGGAGTCACGAGGCGGCCCAACGAAGTACTGATGGGGTGGTCATAATAATCTGGCCACTCAGTGTATCTCTAGTATATCAGTTGCTGAACAACTCTAGACCAAAGCACACAACTGTCGGTGCTGCCTACCTCAGTGAGAAAGCTCTTAGTGAATTGATAACTTGCATAAAGTATTGCTACACTCCCCACCTGTAGGTAGTACAGACCTAGTTTGTAATCCTGTATATAGAACTTGAAGGTTACGTAAGTGCCAGTATTACTTAGATTGTATTGCCAGATAGTCAGGAACAGAGGGCCAGTTGCTGCCTGGATGCAGAGTAATTGATATTTATAGTAGGTTACCTAGGCAGCATCTGGAAAATAATTTAAGAAAACATGAATGTGCATACCGAGAACCTCTGTCAGACGGGTATATAACCTAGTGAGAACTCTGCTCTTTGCTTTGGAATGGCACAGCCCTTAGTAGTAGCATGGCTTTTAAGTTAGAGTTCAGAGATTAAAGAGGCACTACAATGATTATGCATTCAGGCCCCAACGTACATGGTCCTTCCTCTCCTCTAGGTGTTTTGTCACTTATAGACTGTCAATAATTGTTGCATTAGACATTGTTTCTTTGTTAACACTATCACGGCTTGTCTTCATTCCACTTCTAATGTCACCATTTTGGGAATTTTACTAGTTAAACTAATACATTCTCTTTTGCAGTTTTCTAACACCGATGCAAAGAAGGATCCTACGATCTATAAACGCAAGGCTTGCTTCATTCAGGCATGCAGTAATACTGAGCATTTTCCAAATATACTAGGTAATAATTGCATTAAAGCAGTCCTTGCACCTTAAAGATCGGTGTGACTTTATCAGTCACCTAAAAAAAAGCATGGCGAGACTTATAGCATGTAATAATCATAATGCAATGTAAATAACATTGGGATTACCCAAAAAAACACTGCTGCCAAGTGCTGTCAGTATTCAAAGAAGTTGCAAGAAAAAAAAAAAGATCTTGCAATGAGAACCTCAGTGCCGTCATTCACGTGATCATTGAGTAACTGTTGTTAGATCATCATGTGAGGTCCTGAATTTGTTCTTGCCTGCAAGTCTAGATCCTTGGCATGTGCAGAGACTCAAACGCTTAGTGTGCATGGTTTGCGAGTGACTGTTGCTCACAAACTGATAGCTGTTCCTCACTTGGAGGCCGTTGGCGGGCTATAGCGTTTCCTCTGTTTTGCCATGAGGTAAGAACTCTTCGAGAAATTGCATAGGCTTTTCCGATTTATTCTTCAATCGCGATCGGAAACGTAGGCCTGAAAAAAAAGTTACTTTTTGCTTTTTAAAGTCTGTTGCAGTCAAGAGGAAGACAATTTAACACAACAGACAAGGCTCAATCCTGGCATCTGCTGCAACGTATGAATGCCGTACAATTAACCGCAATCTCTACGTTCTTTCCCATCCTCAAAAAAAGTAAAATGCACAATAAAAAGTGGAATAAATATAATAAATAAATCATATAAATTACATGAAGTAATATTAAATAAGCAGGTTATATATATTAAAAGAAAACAGGAGCCAAATGGCTTGACTCCATAAAGGCGAGGGTCACATTTGAATCAAATTGTCTTCTTAGCACATAACGCAAGTCAGATTGCTTTGTGAACAAACCTCTGACAGAATACATAATAAATACTGGAAGTATAGTGCATATTCTCATTGCCTTTGAAAATTTTAGAGGTAACACTGTTTTAGAACAAAAATGCAACAACTTAATTCCAGTGGGGTGCCACAAGGTCTTCTTCCGGTTTAAAATAAATGTTGCCACAACTTTTATTTTTTGCCCTGTTTATAGTGTACATATGTGCTTCCAAACAGGGCAGGGCAAACTTATCTGCATTCAGTACAGCTGAGTTGGCACGATGCCACTTGCAGATCTCGACATTCGTGTGTTTTTTTGTTCCTGGCCCGCATGAAATTTATTGTGCTGCAAAAAAAAACCCCAAAATCATTCTTTTCTCCTTTGTCCGCTTTGCACTAAGCCTTGATAACCACATGGCACAAATAATAAAGATTCGAAATAAATAACACAATGAAATGCTTCTTCAGCAACAGAGTCATATAGCAACAGTTTAAAAAATAAATAACATAGGATAGAAAAATGGCACCTGAGTCTGTGTTACAGAGCCCCCTCCATTCATTTTTGTCTCCTACTGTGTCTCTCGTATTAATGTGAGACTTTCACATTTCATGTGTTTCACCACAGAAAAAAGCTTGGCTTTGCCTGGAAGGGTTCGTTAAGAGCTTCAGTAGGGAGGCTACAAGTTTCTTTTCTTTGCGTGTATGTGTGTTTAAAGAAGAGATAGGTCACAACTATCTGTGATCTATTGAAAAAGTATATTGCACAGGTTAAAATAAAGTTGTCAAGCATTGAATTAAAAAAAGCAAAAAAAAAAAGCAGTAGGTTTATTAAAAAAAATTGTATTTGCACAGTCTATGGTGAAGTGCAACCAAAGATAATACTGTTTGATGCCAAGTACCCTGATTTTTGAGTTTCTGGTGTGTTGTGCCATTAATAAGAGTGGGTTGGCACAATTTCGTGTGCCTCGTTTCTTTGTGTACCGTCCTTCTCCTCGAGCGTGGAGTTTAACTCTGTAGATCACACTCATGATCGGAGCCCTTGAAACAAGCTGACTCATAATGTTTGTTAAGATATGACTTGAGAGCGAAGGTCTTCTCGCATCGTTTGCACTTGTAATGTTTAAAAGCCGAGTGCGTCTGCATGTGCGCGCGAAGGTTGGATCGGTCGGCAAAGGCTTTCCCACAGTGGGCACAGCCAAAGGGTTTTTCGCCCGTGTGAGATCGCATGTGGCCTTGTAGGAGCCACGGGCGGCTGAAGGCCTTGCCACACACGTCACACTTGTGTTTCAGATTGTGTGTGAGAAGATGCATGGCCAGGGCTGGCATAGAAACATAGGTTTTTCCACACGTAGGGCATTTCCTTGCCATCTTACTGTCCAGGCTCCGGTGGGTTTGCTTGTGCCGGCTGAGGTTGGAAGAGGTGGCGTAGGTTTTACCACATTCGCTGCACGTGTGACGCTGGTTTCCACGGCTGGTTTCAACGCCTCTTCTTGAGCGTCCGTCTGTGATGAAGAAAGCGTCTATTGAGTAGCTGTCCGTGACGGCCGCTTCGCCGCTGAAATAACCTGCGGACAGACTGGACTGGGGGCTGTCGGGCTCGCTGTAGTCGTCGTGGTTCGGTGTATATTCAGCCTCGGAGGATGAGAACTTGTCCCCGCTCTTTTTCTCATCTTGGTAGTCGTCAGGTGATGAAATGCAGTGCGGTACAAAGCCTGTGGCATGAATCAGAGAAAAAAAGGTTATCGAGTTTTACAAACAAAATATATATATTTTTTTTAATTTAAATTAAGGATTTATAGTAAAACTGCTCTGCTGCAGGGGACTGAGATACACAACCTATGGGTTATGATCTCTTCCATTACTTGTTTTTTAAATCCCCTAATTCTTTTAGATCCAAGAACAATGGTTTATCAACAGTAGATCCCAGAACAATGACCAGCTAACACTTAGGATCACAACAATGGCACACTGACATTTTGGATGCCACAACAATGGCACACTGATGCTTGAGATTCCTAAACAATCTCACAATGAAAATTTGGAGTATTCACTTGGGAGTCCCAAAACAATGACGCACACCAGAAATGTCACACTTATTCATGAGATTCTAGAGCGATGACACTTGAATTTTCCAAACAATCACACACTGACACTTTGGTTTTAACAAAAAGCACACATTACCACATGGGAGTGGCTGAACAATGATGTGCTGACATTTGGGGTTCCAGAAACGTGACATACTGACACTAGGAACACCATAACAATACTACAGTGACACTTTGATCTTAGAACAATGACGCACTGACACTGGGATCTTAGAACAATTACACACTGACACTTGGATCTTAGAATAATGACACACTGACACTTGGATCTTAGAATAATGACACACTGACTCTTGGATCTTAGAATAATGATGCACTGACACGTGAATCTTAGAACAATGACACACTGACACTTGGATCTTAGAACAGTGATACCCTGACACTTGGATCCTGGAACAATGACACTAAAGACACCAGAACAATGATACATTGACACTTGGGACACCAGAACAATGACAAACTGACACACTAACACTTGGGACACCAGAACAATGGCACACTGGCACTTGGGACACCAGAAGAATGACACACTGACACTTGGGGCACCAGAACAATGACACACTGACACTTGGAAAACCAGAAGAATGATACACTGACACTTGGGGCACCAGAACAATGACATACTGACACTTGGGACACCAGAAGAATGATACACTGACACTCGGGACACCAGAACAATGACATACTGACACACTAAGACTTGGGACACCAGAACAATGGCACACTGACACTTGGGACACCAGAAGAATGATACACTGACACTCGGGACACCAGAACAATGACATGCTGACACTTGGGCCACCAGAACAATGACATACTGACACTTTTCGTGCCACAGCAAAGCCACACTGACACTTTTGATCCCAGGACACTTGCACACTGATACTTTGGAGCCTTAGATACTTACACACTAATATTTGGAATACTAGAATTATTACAAACTAACAGTTGGGATCCCAAAAAAATGACACACTGACAGCAGACAGGCCAAAAAGATTATCATGCTGACTCTTGTACCTCCAAAAAAAAGCACTGTCATTTGGTATTTGAGAACAATGGCCCATTGACACTTTGAATCATAGTACAATAACACATTGGAACCCCCCAAACAATTAGTACAATAACATGTTTATCCCCCCTGTTCAAAACTGTGACATGATGGCCACTGGGATCACCATACAACAGGGACTAAGAGAAAAAAGATATTTTATTTTTTTACATTGTTACAAATGTCAGCATTTGCTAAATACTGTATTCTGATAGAAATCCTGTATCCTTTAGCCTCCTAAGTTTGCAAACAATGTTATCAGCCTTCCAAGCCATCTTCTTTAAACTACATAACACCTTCACCCATATAATAAAGAGAGCGGGGGTGTTTGTATTTCAAAGGGAGAGCAGCCTAGGGTGACAATGTTGCTCTTCCATAGATACAGTATTGCAAGTAAGTGTTGCCATCCAAGGACAGGACATACGTTACTTGAAGGATCAGCAGGTCAAAATTAAAGGGAAACTATTGCAAAAAGAAAACTAATCTAAAGACTGGTAAGCTGATGTATATTACTTTTTTGGTTTTTGGGTTTACATATACTTAAAGTAGTATTAAAGGCTGGGGGCATTTTTTACCTTAATGCATTCTCTGCATTAAGATAAAAAACGGCCAGTACCTTTTTGACTCCCCCACCCCCCACTTACCTGTCAACACCGTTTGGCACCATCACCGCCCCGAAGCAATCCTCTGGCCTGAACTTACTTGTTGCGGGGAAGGATACTGAGGGCAGAGGAGCCATAGGCTCCTTCTGCCGTCAGTCAAAGTGTTGGGGCGGAGGGGCGTGGGCTGTGTGTGTCTATGCACGCACACTGCTACTGCTGGCACAGCTGGGAACGCGCACGCACAGGTACCTCCACAGCAGCCGCTTAGCTTCTGGTGGTACCCATGCAGGCGGCGGGAGGATGCGGGGACCCACTATAAAACAAGGAATTGAGAAATTAAACAAAACAAAGATCTGCAATAAAGACGGCCTCCCAGTGATAAACATTAAAAAAAAACTAAAGCTTTAATAATCATTTTAAAGTCCAGCTCCAACCAAACCCATTTTTTGAGTGCTAAAGTTGAATAAAAGGGGTTGAATCCCTGGTTGGTGTTTATTATTGCCCATGTTCCTTTGAATAAGAATTCCCCTAGTTTCCTGTTTTGTCTTAAATCCGTCACCTGGACAGGAAGTATCTTGAAATCTCCCCAGTACAAAGACGGACAGTAATTGATGGAGTTATGCTTCAAGTGCCATGTAGCATATAATCAGTCTGTAATTATTTAACAATCCTGGTGTTTTTATAAAAAATAGTGAACTAAAAGCCAGCAATATTCAACAGCACACATCCTTTCTAGTGTTATACGTGTTGCTGTGTTCAGCGCTGTACTGTCTTTTTATCTTGAACGCAGTAATTTATATACTTTAGGTCCTTTTGACCCCGGGGCTAGGATGGTGTATATAAAGAGACATGGCATTTAAGGGAACACAACAAAGCCGTACTATTGAGCCATGGCAAGTTTTCCTTTCCTCATTAACGTCTGGTAAAGGAGCAGGCCTTGCCTGGAACATTTTATGGCACCGTCTCCTTTGATGACCCAACTGTGACAGCATTTACTGGACTGCTCTGTCGATAGCAGTGACCTATTGATTGGCAAGATGAGACCCTCTTAAGACTAGCTGAAAAATGATGATGTGTGTGTATGTGTGTGGACATAGCTCTTTCCTTCCTTACATTGTATTTGTTCATCTTCTAGATCAATGGGGCTTTGTTTTTACAAAGTGCTGGAGCATCTCTTTGGGCTGTTGAGAGAGCACGGCTCTGAATGATGACATGGTGCTGATGTATAGTTGCTCCGTTATATTCCTATGCTGTGTGCTCAAGCTGCATTTCCCTTTGCTTCACATCTCTGTTTTGATAGAACTGTTGGATGTGACACTGTGGATCACAGGTATCTGTGCACTGTGCTATACACTACATACCCCGGACCGCTGTTATACCTACACTGTGCTGTACGTCACATTCTCCAGATCGCTGAGCTCCACTAGGAACCTCATACCTCTAGGAACTTTTCAAGGAATACGGAATTTCAGATTATTCAACAAACAGGCACATTGTTGCTATTTTGCTCAACCCTAGTATCCTGAAGGCTGAGTGAAATGATATAAAAAGTGGCTTTTGTATCAGATAAAAGGGGTCTGTTAAATCTGAAGTCCAGTCTTTCCTTCCTTCAGTTGTACCGGCTCCTCTCCTGGGCTGAAATTGCTTCCTCAGATTTCACTGCACACTGTGAGCTTTTCACAATGTGCATCAGAAACTGCAGCAGCTCAGAGTGAGCCCGCCTCATTTCCTGGCTGGAGGACATCCAGCATCATTTAGCATTTTCCTCCCCAGTCTGACTGTCCCCTTCCCACCCCTTTCATTCACTGGATTCTAGTTCCTTCAATCATGGAGGCTCAGCATTACATGTGGGTGTTACCTAGGGAGGTCTGCATGCAAATACAACCTGCCTAGGACTGCCCAATCCTTCAGACTAACATTAACCCATCAAGGTGTTTTTATATTTGCATAACTCCACCCAAGTTCCAGCACACTGCTTGCATCAGGACTGAGGGCTCTTGAGAGGAGTATTGAGGCAGAGTGACGTAAAGTTTTCAAGGAGCTATGTACAGCACCCTGCCAGCCCCTCCTTCTAGCCTGGATCTGCCTGCACTGCACAGAGAAGCCCAGAGACCCGGTGATGACATCACTAGGTTTAATACAAGGTATGCAATGAATAGTGAAACTTCAGCTTTTAGAATTCACAGTAGGATGTTGTGTGTGTGGTTTTTAGGTTGTGTTGCCTATAGCAACCAACCAGTCAGCCACTTTTTATTTCTTCCAGCTGATGTGAATAAACCTCCAGCCCCTCAACAGTGACCCAAAATAGGATCAGTTGCAGCAGGCTGATGTCTCCCCCCTCACTATGTAACTTATAAATTAGCTTTGTATGGATGGCAACACTTTGATTCCTATGTTGGCTTCTTATATCTCCATGGAATTCCATTGCTGAGATTTCCCTGCCAAATGTTACTGTTTCACCCAACTACCAAAGCGTTACTACAAGACAAGGTGATGGTGTCACAATCCTTCAAAGAGTTTAATGTAGAATAAACAAATACAGGCAGTCCCCGGGGTAAGAACAAGATAGGGACTGTAGGTTTGTTCTTAAGTTGAATTTGTATGTAAGTTGGAACAGGTACATTTCTTAAGTGTAACTCCAGCCCAAAACATTTTTTTTTAGTTTTGGATAGCATAGGGAAGGATTTACCCCCTTTATAGTTTGTTTTTCTATGTGTGCCCCTGTTCAGAAGATTTCACCTCACTTTCTGTCCCTGTGACAATTGGATTTTGAAAATTGGAAACAAGGATTGGTGATAAAGCTTCAGTGAAGACACCTTTTTCCCATGATCACTCTTACAGGTGTGAATTCCCCTTCCTAAGGGTAGATTTCCTCTCACTTCCTGTTGCCTTAAGAACAGAAAGTGAGATTAAAATATTTCTAATGAGGATACAGACAGCAGTAAAAACCTCACAGT